AGTTAAACTTTTCCTGAAAAGAGAAGCCAAGAGAGTTCAGGAGTGAAAGGGGACTGTGGTATGATGTTAATATTTATAATTGGCTGTAGTTCACCCCAAATGAAGTTTGATGTAGTTCTCTCCTCCAGTTGTGTGTATAATTTGGCAGAAGACTGGAACAACATTTGCTTCTAATCACTCATCCATCTTATTAATGCCAAGCTGATACAGCTCAGAAACTGTTGCACAACCACTCTCGTTTCATGACACTGGAATCTTTGCCAGTTTGAAAGGGGACCTTGACTCCGGGGAGAGTTGCATTTTTATGTTTTTGATCATGATACTTTCAGGAGATACTTATTGGGGCCGTTTGTTGACAACAGTCTGAATTAACAAATTATGCTGTTAAAGCGTAACAAAAGCTTAATGGTTTCATTAGAGAACTATAAAGTCTATTAGTGAAGAAAGAAATATTGTGGTGTCTGAAAGCAGGAAATAGTTATTGAAGGACTCTCCAGGGACTAGTTTATCAGACCCAGACTAAGCTCAGCTAGTGTGATCTAAAAAATTAAAAAAGAGAGAAACAGAAGAGCAAGGTGGTTGTATGTTCAGAGCCAATGGATTCCCTAAAGTTCTTGGTTATGAGAATGCAGTAAGTTGTGGTTTTGGTGGTTTGGTTTTTTATTTTTTGTTTTTTGTTTCCTAAACCAGAAAAGGAAGAAAAATTACTGTGAGAAGTCTTATTAATTCTCTCAAGTGAGGGAGATAGTTAGATTTTGTTGTTTTGGGCCTAGTGTGGCATCTTTGCCAAGACATGGTCACCACAAAGAACAATTGAGTAGGTGCCCCAGGGACTGTGCAGTGCTAGTATTTGCCACCAGAAAACAGACTCTCAGCTGCAGATCCCCTCAGTGGTGTCCATTCCTCCTGCAGACACCTGCAGAGGCATCCAATCATCTTGCAGACCTCCTCAGTGGCATTTAGTCCTTCTGTAGAAGTACCTTCAGACTCACCTGCAGAGTCTGAAACAGAGAATTTTGATTAGGATGATGCTTGCCACAGTGCAGAACTGAGCAGAAACTACCCTTCGCTCTACTGTGGACATTGAGTATAGCACTGCCCAACTGCGGGGTCCCAGCCATGTGAAGAGGCCTCTTCCAGGAGAAGTCAGTCATAAGGAGCGGGGAATTTTAGTCACGAATGCAGCCATTTACTAGTTTGAGACCACTATAAGAAAAGCAAATGGAAGCAGTTATCTGATTAGTTCCACTAAGAAGAGGCTGACATGTTTTTGTCTGAATTACCCAGATAATTGTGTTTTTGTGGGAAGAACTCTAAGGTGGAGGTTTGAGCCTCTGAGTTCCTCTCAGTCAGGAACACACAAACCCCCAGTGAGTTCTGACTCTCTTCTAAAATTAGTGTTTCTTAATTAGCTTGAAAAATCTGAGTCTACCTAAGAGAATCAATGAACAGTACTGTGTGTTTTCTGTGTGAACAGCTATTCCAAGGCAGGTAACTGTCACCTTGTCGTCACCCTGCCAAACAGAGGCAGAGTGGAGGAAATAATTTTCTTTGGGAGTATTTCCTAGTCAGCGGGGGAACACATCTTCCTCTCCTATCGGTGGGATGATTCTGGATTTTTATTTTACGCATTTCTATTTTCTTGGAAAGACTCATAGATGAGAGCAAAATCTGCTTGAAAAACTAGAAGAGATCTTAGTTGTGTTTCTTGTGAATGAGATAAGGAAACAAGGTGGGACTACCTGGGTGCTTGGTGGAGGGGGGGCGGAGGGCAGGAGGGCTGGTGGAAGGGCTTGCTCTGTATGCAGGGCCTGTTTTAGACTGAGGGGGCTGGTGTGGATGGCTCATCAGACTGTAAAACAGCTTCACAGAGGTGCTCTCAACCCTGTGCTCACCAAAGTATTGCAGACTGGGGGGTGGGGAGACCCTGTGCCACAGCTGGGCCAACATCAGAGGTGAGGCACTGCCCATCCACATGTAGGTTCAGCATGAGCTAATGAGGAGATGAGACTCACAGTGCTGGTGGTCTGAGGTCAGAGGTGTCTTTGAAAAATGACCCTGGTGCCCTGGTCCCTCTTCCTTGGTCTGGATAGGCTCTAGGCAAAGTCCCACAGGTGTCAAAGGGAGTTTCCCAGATCAGTCCAATCCTGGCCCTATGACCAAAGGTCAACCGGGTGCTGCACCACCCTGTTTGCACAGGTGGGCCAAGACCTGGGCGGCTGAGCAGGCCTGTGGTGATGGCCCCACCTTAGATGGCCACTGCAGCTCCAGGGATGGTGGCCCAGGTGTCCAGCCTTCCTAGAAGAGGCCACAAGCCATCCTGGTAGGCCAGAGAAGTCCCAGAATGAATCCAAGGCCTTAGACAGGGTCCCGTGTATCCAAGCACCTTCCTGGGGACGTATGCAGGACCCAGGCTCATCCCAGCACGCGTATGTGATGTCTACGAAGTGCAGGAGCCACTGCTGGGCTTTTATCTTCCTTTGGAAACAGAGGTTTCTATCATGTCAGAGCTCCATGGAAGGGTTGAGAGGGGAAGACAGTGTCACAGGACCCTTTATCACCCTCTGCGAGGCCCCTTAAGTGTGAGTTTCCTCTGAGTCTTTGGACCAGGAGTCTGCCCAAGGACCAAAGATTTGAGTGAAGGACACTTGAAAGGGTTCTAGGTTAATACCAGCTCTATGACTACAAAACAGTCCGAGGGAGGCAGTATGAGGGTGAGAGGCCAGGGAGGAAACCCTAGTCAGGAAGACCTCTGGACATTCATTTTTGATCTGTCAAGAAGTGGGGCGAGGTGGGTAGCTGTGATTTCAATGACACATTTACCTTTTACTCTTCTGCTGTGCTGTTTTTGTATTCTTTAAAATAAATTAGCAGTAGATTTAAAATCAAAGTTGCAGAACTGTTTACTTGTGTCAATGCAGTAACAAAAATAATAGTGTCACTTGCATGATTTAGAAGCAGGTAGCACTTGGCCTGTGGAGACACAGACTCCTGAGATAAGGGGTGACCTTCAGATGCTGATGTTGCTTTCTTCCACTAAGTGTCCAAAACCAGAATGCTGGAATGAAAACCACTGAGTTTCCCCAGTTCCCAATATTTGGATTTTCAAGTCAGTCTCCAGTTTCAAATAAGAGTCTCCCCAAGAGGAATAGAGATAGTATTGGGCGTACAGGCCCAGCCTTGGAACTCCCTGTCCATTGTCACTCTTTACACAGTGCAAGAGTAAAACTGTGTCTGGGTGTGCTGACAGACAGACAGTTAATGGTTTTCTGGTACTTCTACAGACCTTAAACTTTTTCTCTTGCATTTTTAATTGAGGAAACTACCTTCTATTCTGCATTAACCCCTGAGATTGCAGTGAAAACAGGCCTGGCCACCTCTCTCCACAACTGATAAAAATTTTACCACTTAGGAATCATGGAGGTGGGGGGAGAACCACAAAAAGCTGTACTGCTTAATGGGTTTCATATATCCAAGGTAATGTTTGCATTTTTTAAAAGGTAGATGGTTTTGACAAAATACTCTCAAGTTGGTGTTAAAACGGTCCTGTAGACACCTTCGATGTGTTAGAATACTCTTAATTCAGGATTTAGTGTATAATATTTTGAGTCTCAAATATGAATCAATTTGTGTGAAAATGTTTACTTGTTAAAAATAGCTTGACTCCTTTAGAGAAGAAGTCTTTGGGGAAAGGAATCACATTCCCCCCGCCCCCCCCCCCTGCAACTTTTCAATGATTTCTTACAGAGGTAAACAGTTTCAAGTTCAAGAAATTATATCAAAGCAGGTCTCACTTCAGGGCTCTGTACAATGACATGTACAATAAGAAAACCTGAAGGATACTTTTACCTTTAATGGATCATTCAGGAAAATATTTTGTTATCCTCAGGAAGTTTCTTGAGACCCAAAGTGTAGGCCACTTTCTTTGGGGGTGTGTGTGTAAAAATCTGTCCTTTCTAGCTCATCACTACAAAGCACTTAATTCGGTTGTGAATTTTATTAAAAAATAAGCACTATGCCTGGGTTCCATATGATTTACACATGAATATGTACACAGACAAAATAAAATAATATTCAAAATAAAAAATCACACTTGCTTTCACGTGGTAGTGGTCCTAGCACCCCACATACATAATGTTACATTTTTCTTTTAAAGAAATGGCTTGGCCCCAGGAGAACAGAGATCACAGAACCACTAATATAAAGCTGTAACCCGTTGCCTGCAACATTTTCAATTTGGGTTTTAAAATATATATAAATAATTTAATTACAAAAAAACCCCAGCAACTGGTATGGTGTGGTTTTTTTTCTCCCCCACGCCCTTGTTTTGGCACAGTGATGCATTGGTCAATAGCAGAGGAATGGCTGGCGATACTCTGGCATCTCTCACACATGCAGTCATACTTGTAAATGCCACAAACTCACACAGAGCGGGGCCCAATGACCCCAAACAGTAGTCAGATCACTTATCTTAAGGGGGTAGTTCCCTGACGTGATTTTGCCTTGTTAAGGAAATCAGAGAAATGTTTGTTGCTGGGTGCCTTCGAATCCACTGTGACTCACAGCGACCCTGTGAACAACAGAAGGGAACACTGCCCTGTCCCATGCCTTCGTCACCATCTCATTCTGGAGCTCACAGTTATAGCCAATGGCTAAGGTGACAAAAACAGTTGAAATAAGCGGAGGCAGGGACAGGAAGAGAGGGGACGTTCAGGCTTGGTCAAGAAATGAAGGGAAGTTCGAGCTTGGCCAAGAAACTAAAACCATGGGAAAGAATTGCTTTGGTTTTTTGAAAAGTCCTAGAAAAAATGATGAGGGAAAATATTCTGCACTAAGGGAAAACATTTTTGACTGAGACCCAAATATGCTTTCGCTTTTTAAGGCACTTTTGAGTGGGGTTTTGTTTTAGTCTCTTTTCGTCAGGATGGAAACGCAGACCTAATCTGACCGCACCTGGGTCCCGTGCTGGAACCCCACTGCCCACCCGCCGCCCTTGGCCCTCAGGCCAGAAGCGTCTCTACCCGGCCCGCGCGGTACACGCCGGACCCCGCGGTTAGGGCAGCCTGCAGGGCGCCCGGTGGCCGCAGGGGGCAGCAGGGAGGCGAACCGGCTCCGTTCAGCGGGGCGCAGAAGGGCTCTCCCGGAGTGCAGGAAGGGAAGGACGCAAGGAGAAGGGGTGGCGCGTCCCCGGCCCGCGCGCCCAGCAGCATCGGTGGCTCGCGAGCCTCGAAGGTGTAGAGCGGCAGCGGGGCCGCCCCGGGCGCAGGATGAGGCGCCGGTGGGGCGGGAGGCGCGCAGCCCGCGCTCCACAGCAGGCGCGCTTTGGCGTCCGCGCCCGGCTCGCGGCGACTGCGGAAGGGCTTGCTGAGGATGCTGTCTATGGCGAAAGAGCTGGAAAACTTGCCCGCGGGGCTGGCGCTGTCCTCCGGGCGGGCGGGCGAGCGTGGGTGAGGCGAGGGCGAGGCGCGGCCCGGGCCGCTGGTGGCCGCGGTAGCGACAGGAACCGCAACCTTGTGTCCCAGGCGCTTGCGGCGGCGGCGGAAGACCCCGTCGGCGAAGGTGTACTCGCTGTTGGGGTTGAGCATCCAGTAGTTGTCCTTGCCCCAGGGCCGGGAGGGATCGCGTAGCACCTTGACGAAGCAGTCGTTGAGGGAGAGGTTGTGGCGCACGGAGTTGCGCCAGCCGGTGTAGCTGCCGCGGAAGAAAGGAAACTTGCCCATGAGGTACTCATTGATTTCCGCGAGCGTTAGGCGGCCGCCTGCGGAGTCGCGGATGGCCATGGCGATGAGCGCGATGTAGGAGTACGGGGGCTTAGGCCGCCGTGTGTAAGGTTTGCCGCGACCACCCTCGCCGCGCACGCCCTCGCCAGGCCTCGCGGCCCCGGCCCCGCTGTTTCTCGCGCCCCCCGCCGCCGCCGACTCCTCCTCCTCTGGGACCGACCCGCTTGGCGCAGGCTCCTGGATACCCCCGTCCGTCGTCGGGCTGTTGGCCGCACAGTCTCCGTCGGAGCCCAGGGAGTCATCGCCGCCTGGTGACAACGGAGATAGCGCGTCGCTCCCACCTGTGGCCTCAGGGTCACCGGTCAGCTCCTTGGCGGCAGGCGCTCCAGTGGCAGGCACCTTGAACTTCATCGTCTCGCGTCCTCTCTCGACACCACCTCCCTGCTGTCCTGGGAGCACGGCAGCGGGCACCGTCTGGACCCCTGGGTGGGGCCGCGACCTTCTCTCCCAGAGATATCCCTCCTTTGGGCACCTAGAGTCACTTTTCTTCTGCAGGGACCTCTCTTTGCAGGGAAGGTGCGTGTTGGTTAATCAGGCGGAGTGGAGAGAGAGGAAGGAGTTGGGTGGATGCTTCAGGTAGAGGAGTGGGAACTTGGGGGGATCTGTGCGGGTGCAGTCACACCCGTGCCCAAGTTGTGCTGCGCGCAGAAGTATGACTTGCTGGAGTAAAAGACGTTTGTATCTGCTGTTCCGCAACCTGGAGTTGGTATCTTCCCGGGAGACCCGGGGCCAGGCGAATCTCCTCCAAGGACCCGGAGAAGGTGCGTGGTGGGTACGCACCCCGGGCAGGGGGCCTTGAGTTTTCAGCCTCGAGCGCTGATGGAGCCCAGTTTCCGAGGCCCAGGCGTGGGCATCAGCCTTCCCGCCCGCGGCTTCCCGGCCAGCATCTCCGAAACGGGCTTCTGGCAGCTTCAAGACGTCTCCACCTTCAGCCCGGCCCAATATAACCTCCTCACGGCTCTGCGGGGCGGGGCCTGGCGCTGGCAGAACGGAGTGGGTGGGGACACAGTGGCCAAGGTGGGCCAGGGATCCCGGAGGGCGCGGCCACGCGCTGGTGGCGCGCAGGTTGTTTGTTTTGGGTCCGCCAGGCCCGCCTCTTCCCCAGCCAATGGGGAACTGGTGCGCGGCGGAGCCTTGCGCGGTGGAGGCACAGGTTGTGCGCCCAGAAAGCTCCGCCTGGCGCCTCTCAGCCCAGGTGCGATCCTCCCGGCCTCTGTGGCGGCGCTCTGAGTCTTTTCCGGAGGGAAACACCTTTGGAGGGTCCTGCTTAGATAGAGGCTGAAGACCTATCTTGGCCAGAGGCTCTTGCTTTTCAATTGGAAGCGCATCCTCCTGACCACCGCAAGAGCCTAGCCGCAGAAATGGCTTTGCTCTGCGGGAACCTCTTGCAAGAGCTTCCGTGCTCCCCAGTTTGTAGCTTCTTTGCAGAGATTACGTGGTTTTTTATTTGTAGCTTGTAGCTTCTTTGCAAAGATTACGTGGTTTTTTATTTGTATTTTCAATGCATAAAACACTAGACTTAAAATGGAGATTTTTGTTTTTTTTTTCTTTTCTGGTGCCCTTGATAATTTGTGCTCACTAAACGGCTCTAGCTTTCACTTTTTCTCTACCCTCGTCCCCTGGAAACCGCTGGGGCTCGCTCCAAACTTGGCGCAGTGGGTTACATTATCCCTACTGGGTCCTGGACGCAGGACGACAAGGGGGGAGTGTTTCCATGGGCGGGATGACATCAGGAACACCAGTAATTTTCCTTTCCAGTACTTCTCTTTTCGAAGGGAACTGTGATTTCAAAAGTCACAAAGTGAGGGAATCTTTCTCGGATTCAAGGATGCTCTGGTTCTGGCGTGCAATCTTGAGGTCACTTACGGTGGAGGCGGAAGGGTGCGCTCATAACCTGCACCCCTCCCAAGCCAAGGTTTCCTCCTTTTTCCTGCCTTTGTTGCAAATAGCCAAAGAGTCTCAAGTGTGTGGGCGCGCACCTTTGATGTTTATTTTATTACTTTTCCACCTTTTGTGTAGAAAATATACACACTCTTCTTTTATCTCTAGTCAAAGGGTTTTTAAGGCATTCTGAAACGAGGGAGGCGAAATGATAGACGTACTAGTACTCTGCTAGTAGCATGTGTTTAGGAGATGATCAGCTTTGGAGACTACATTGCCTATGAATTGGAGGCAGGCGGGGACTGGTTCCTGGTCAGGGATGACCCAGCCAGAGGGTTTGGTTCTAGGGCTGTGGCGGCCCACTCCAGCTCTAGGACTGAGAGGCAAAACAGCCTAGGACACGAAGAAGACCAGGCAAAGAGCCTTCTTCAGGTTGGCCAGGCATGCACGATACGGTCATTGCTGTGGAGTGGAGTCAGAATCAACATAGCTGACCCTCCAGCGAGTTTTCAGAGGCTGTAAACTTCAGGGAAGGAGGCTGCCCATCTTTCTCCCGCTGAGCAGCAGGTGGATACGAACCGGCTTGCCCTTCACTCTATTGCCAGCACCAGGAAGTAGGCAGCCAGGTCCCACAGGTGGAGGTGAGTGAAGAAGCCAGGGCGGATCTGCCAGGACAGAGGTGCTTGGGTGAGCTCCACACACGCTGAAGCCTCCTCTGTAGCCTCCGCACCCCTTCTTCTTAGACCCCATCCACCACGGTGTGCAGACCCTCTGCTCCAGGCCCACCAGCACTTCCCCCCATTTTTAGTCATACCCAGTTGTACTGGAGGCAGCCCCTGACCTGGCCTGGCTCTCGCCACCTCCACCCATCATGATGTGCAGTCCAGCGGCTCTCGGACCGTCCTAGAATAGGAGGGAAGTGTCCTCTTGTTGGTGTCCTTCGCCAGTACACACTCGTTGTTCTAGCCATCTTGTGCAATTCGGAGGAGGGGAGGAAGGGAGAAGACTGTGGCCTCTTGATAGGCTCCCAGGAGAGTCCGGGGCTCTGTCATCCGCCCTTCTTCACCTCATTTCCTCCCGTTAGAGAAAGGCTGATCAGAACAAACCTCCCCCTGCGTGCAGCGTCTGATCATTCCGTCTTTGCTCTTTGTGCTTTAGCTGAGCCTCGGACTGGATGCCTTTCTGCTTCTGGGGCGTTTGCTCAAAAGGCATGCGGTGGAGCCCTTCAGAGATTCCGCTGGGGCTTCATCCTTCTCTGCCAGATCCATTTCCGAGGAAGAGAAGGGCACTGACCAGGTCAGGGCGGGGTGGGCAATCTGGGGCTTGGAGTTAGTTACCACCTGCTGAAGACAGAATGAGTGCATGCTGCCTGCGCCCACTGACTGGCCCCCACTACTGTGGACACTCTACTTCTCCAAGGAGATGTCCAGATCAAAGGTGGGGCTAGGACCTGCTTGGCTGGTAATCCAACAAGCCTCGGCTTTGCCCCAGGGCTGTGTCCCAACAGATTGAAGCCTGAAAGGATTTTGGGAGAAGGGAAGGCAGTGGGAGTAGAAAAAATTTCAGCAGGAGAAACGTTCCTGTTTTGAGTTAGCGCATTTGGAGAGCTGAATGGACAGGAAGGAGCTGCCAGCAGTCACCTGACTGGACTTTGAAAGGCTTAGCAAGGATGGTGAATGTAGGCTTGTACAAAAGGAGGAAGATATGCCAGAAAGAGACCACAAGCTCAGCACAACCTGGTGCATGTCTGTCTGTTGGCCTGCTTTTCATTTTCTAAAAGCATTTCAGGGAGGCCAGAAGATCATGGAAATGTGACCTCATCCTTTGCCATAGTTTATTCACTTGTCTCCATATACTTGCCAAATGAAAGGCAGATGATAAATTTCTGTCAAAGGCATGTCTGTGAGGAGGTCAGGTTGCAAGGACCGTCAGCTGAACACCAGAAAGAAAAATGGCTTCTTCGTTGTGTGAGAGAAAAATGGTTTCTTCGTTGTGTGAGTCCTAATGATACTGTTACTTTTCTTAACCATTGTCTCAAAGGTGAGAGCTACACTCACCTCTCAAGGTCTAAGAAGTATGTCGAATATAGGGAATGACAACCTCATTCCACAGCATCCTCATAATGGCATATGAGTTAAGAACAAAGCACTGAAAGAAACAAAGCCATATCCACATACTTGTTTTGTTAGTTTCACAAGTGTCCTGGAAATTTAGATAATTTCTACTTCATGGCAAATCCTTTGGAAGCCTACTTCTGTTATTGTGTACCGTCAAGTCAGAACTGACCCATAGCTGACCCTCCTATGAATTTTTAGAGGCAGTCAATTGGGTGGGAGAAGATTGCCCATCCTTCTCCTGCAAAGCAGCTTGTGGATTCAAATTTTGTACCTTTGGGATTGCAGTTTCTTACCACTAGGTGACCATTATTGATGGGTTAATAATAATGGTGTTATCATTAATGGTGTAAAGTTGTTGGTGTTGTGTACCCTCAAATTGTAACTAACCTATAGCTGACCCTCCAGCAGGTTTTCAGAGACAGTGTGCCTGGTTCAGGCTGTGGTCTTCTTAGCCACCATTAGAGAGCTGGGCAATGAATAACAATGATAGGAAAAAAAATGATGCCATTGAGTTGTGGTGCAGAGAAGAGTACTGAATATCCTATGGGCTACCAAAAGAATAGATATGTCTTAAGAAAAGTGCAGTCAGAATGCTTGTTGGACGCAAAGATGGCAAAGCTTCATCTTTCATACTTTGGACAAGACTATGCCTTGGAAAGGGACACCATGCTTGGAAAGATGGAGGCTCAGAAAGGAGAGGAAGACCCCCCCCCCCATGAGATGGATTGATACAGTGACTTCAGCAATGGGCTCTTGTGTGTCAGAGATGATGACCATGGAATGTGATAGGGCTAATGGTGGCTAATCATAGGGTCCCTATGAGTCATACTCAACGTGAGGACACCTAACTTCAACAACCACAAATAGCACGGGAGGAGATTGGTCTTTTTTCTCCCATGAAGCAGATGGTGGATTTGAACCTCATTGTTTTAGTATTGTAGTACAGCTTCTTACCTCTAGCCCACCAGAGAGTCTCACTAAATATTTGCAGGCCTGGAAAACACATCATCTCATTATTTCACTTGTCCTTTTATTTTTGTAGGGAGTGAGCTCTGGTGGTAAGAAGCTGCACTGCAATCTTGAAGGCATATAGTTTGAATCCACTAGTTGGTTCTAGGGAGAAGGGTAGACATTCTCTTCCATTGTGATTAATTGACTCTCAAAACCTGCAGAAAGGTCAGCTATGGATCTGTTCCAACTTAATGGTACTCAACAACCATCACCACAGCAACTGGTGGCTAGCGGGTAGGGAGTTGTACTACCAACCGAAACCAGGTGGTTCGAATACATCATCTGTTCCTAGGAAGAAATATAGACATTCTCCTATATGATTCTAAAGCCTTTGAAAATAGA